CTTTTTCGAACTTTAAATTCTCAACATACATTTTGCAAAGAAGTTATCATTTTAATGAAAGTCAGCTCTTTTCTCTTTATTAACACTGCGAATCAAAAAATATCAATCATTTTCATCTTTTGGCTGTTGTTAAAAAAAGACAACATTAGTACCTAAATAAAATAATAAAACAAAATCTCATTTCTTTCAACTTTTTCCGTTCTTATCTCAACAGCACTTGGGATTTCCTTACTTTGCCTGAAGTTAAAGCATAAACTAGTAAGCACACAAACCTTGTTATTTATCTGTAATCATGCATAAGTAACTAACTAGTATAAAATAAATTACCAAACTTTTAAATAAATGCTCTTAATTTATTTCCTAAAAATCGCTTGGTTTTACCTAGTCAGGTCATAAGTATTGTCACACAGTAAAAACTTTTCTTTTAGAATGCTGGCCACAAAAAAGTTTATTGAATTCGAATTTCGAATTGTTCATGAAAATAAAACTGTATACTTTTTAGAATTTTACTCATTTTTAAATATGGAGTGGACGCTTAAAGAATACCGTGTTGCAGTTATTGCGTTGCATCGTTGCGGTTACGCGCCAATTCAAATTTTTGACATACTGAAAAATTTGAATATTACCAAAAGATTCGTTTATCGTACCATCAAACGATACAATGAAGAATCTAGTGTAGATGACAGGTCAAGAAGTGGTCGCCCTCGGTCTGTTAGGACTCCAGCAGTAATAAAAGCTGTGATGGCGCGAATTCAAAGAAATCCCAAACGTAAGCAGAACCACGGTGAAAAGGGTGTTAAATGAAGACTTAGGGCTTCGGGCATGTCTAAGAAAAACAGGACATCGTTTGAATGCTCGTCTAATGGACCTGAGACTGAAGAGATGCCGCGCTTTGTTGAAGCGGTACGCGGGAAACAAATATCGGGAAATTCTTTTTTTGGATGAAAAAATTTTTACCGTAGAAGAGAGCTACAACAAACAAAATGATAAGGTGTACGCACACAGTAGTGAAGAAGCGAGCAACCGTATTCCGCATGTCCAACGAGGTCATTTTCCATCCTCGCTCATGGTATGGTTGGGAGTTTCTTATTGGGGCTTAACAGACGTACATTTTTGTGAGAAAGGTGTAAAAACGAATGCAGTTGTGTATCAAAATACAGTCTTGACGAACCTTGTGGAACCTGTTTCTCATACCATGTTCAATAACAGGCACTGGGTATTCCAACAAGATTCGGCGCCAGCTCATAGAGCGAAGAGTACACAAGACTGGCTGGCGGCGCGTGAAATCGATTTCATCCGGCACGAAGACTGGCCCTCCTCCAGTCCAGATTTGAATCCGTTAGATTACAAGATATGGCAACACTTGGAGGAAAAGGCGTGCTCAAAACCTCATCCCAATTTGGAGTCATTCAAGACATCCTTGATTAAGGCAGCCGCCGATATTGACATGGACCTCGTTCGTGCTGCGATAGACGACTGGCCTCGCAGATTGAAGGCCTGTATTCAAAATCACGGAGGTCATTTTGCATAAACTTTAGTGTCATAGGAATCTATGTTTTGTTAAGTTCATTTTGGTATATAAATGGTTACATAATGAATAAACTTGTTTCAATTATTTTATATTAAACATGTGACAGAATTTATGACCTGACTAGGTATTTCCCATTACGTCTGAATTGTAATTTGTTGTCACTCTAAAATAAATATTGCTGGCCATCAAAAATAATAATAAGATATTTTACTTTATAAAGGACTAAGATTTGTCGATAACACTATAACAGTGCCCTATACGCTCATGGCAAATGTCAGGTAGAGCGCCGAGTGACGTAACCTCTCTCTGGGAAGCCTAGCGACTGTCTAATTTGAATTGATCCAAACGCGTAATTTTATTGTGTTTTTATAGTAATATTAAAATATTTATAGAAAAAGAATAAAGCTACTTTATTTTTAATTTTAAAATGTAAGAGTTAAAAAATATGTTCAACATATTAAGCTATTATTTTATTAAATTAAGTATATTTTTTTATAGGAGAGGAGGCAAACGAGCATGCGGCTCACCTGATGGTAAGTGACTACCGCCGCCCATGAACAACTGCAACACCAGGGGAATTGCAGATGCGTTGCGGGCCTTTTAAAAAGGAGTACGCTCTTTTCTTGAAGGTCCCTAAGTCGTATCGGTCCGGAAAAATCGCTGATGGTAATCGATTCCACAAGGAGGTCGTGCGAGGAAGAAAACATCTTCTAAATCGCACAGTGGTGGACCGCCAATCATCCAGATGGTGTGGATGGTATCGGGAGTTCTGCCGCGATGTGCGTTCGTGAAATTTGGCGGCTGGGATTAATCCGAACAATTCCTCAGAGCACTCCCCATGGTAGATGCGAAAGAAAATGCAAAGGGATGCAACATCTCTTCGCAGTGCCAATGAATCGAGCCGATCGGAAAGGGCTCGGTCGTCGACGATTCGAGCAGCTCTGCATTGGATGCGGTCAAGTGGAAGGAGCTGGCACTGGGGAGCCCCTGCCCAGAGATGGGAACAGTATTCCATGTGAGGCCGAACTTGCGCCTTGTAAAGTTGCAGGCGGTGTGCCGGCATGAAATACTGTCCTGCTCTGCTGAGCACGCCAAGCTTTTTAGAGGCCAATTTGGCCTTCCCTTCCAAATGACCACGAAACCGAGGATACCGATACTGGCAGAGGCAAGAAGGGGAGTGCCTTGAAACTGAGGACATACGACAAAGGGGTTCTTTTTAGCGGTAAACGCGCAAACTTGTGTCTTCTGAGGATTAAAGTGGACTAGATTTAGTCGCCCCCAATCCGAGACTTTGCTCAGCAAAGACTCGACTTCAGACACAAGTTTGTTCCGGTATTCAGCGACGTTTTTCCGAGAAATATTGGCACGGCCGGTGTATAGAGCATCACCAGTGCTGTCATCCGCATAGCAATGAATGTTACCAGTTAGCAACATATCATTGATATGCAGAAGAAACAGCGTTGGTGATAGCACACAGCCTTGTGGAACACCAGCGTTAATAGGCTTGTAGTCAGAGCATGCACCGTCTACAACGACCTTGATGCTCCGATCTGCAAGGAAGCTGGTGATCCAATTGCACAATTTCTCGGGAAGCCCATAGGAAGGGAGCTTCGAAACAAGCGCTTTGTGCCAAACCCGATCGAAGGCCTTCGCAATGGACTAACGGCCTAAGTAACTAAGTAATATAAATTGGTGAAAATAATCGTTTTATTCACAGCATTTTCATAAAAATTTAATTTGGTTTGAATTTTTAATTTCTTCTGTATATAATCTAAATTAAAATATCTTTTTTAGTAACTATTTTCCTTGGGTTTTGTCAAATTGACCATTTTTTGTTTCGTAAAATTGTCAGCTATTTCAGATATTTTCAGCTTTGAAATTGACGCTAAATGGGCAATTAAGAAAATCTCTGTTTATTTTTTTTTTGATGGCATGTACAAATACTGTAGTAGTATTAAAAAAAATCTTATAACTATTTAGATTATAAAATTTCCTAAAGTTATGATTAATTAACATTTGTGTAAGATAATCGGTAAATTGATAATAACAGGTTGGAAAAGTACCGTTTTCAGCTAATCAGCGCTTCAAACATACGTCCTTAAGGAAAAAAGACGCGGTAAACTGCGAGCTGAAGTGTTTCACCAAGACAACACTGGCTCACAAAGCCGCAGTTGCGATGGCTGCCATTCAAGAAACGGGATTTGAACTGCTCGAACACTCGCCCTATACGAGCTAGCTTCCAGTGACTTCCATCTATTTCCTCGGCTCAAGGAACACCTTCGAGGCTAGAAATTTGCAGACGATAGCGAAGTGATGGACGCTGTTGAGGCTTTTTGGAGGGTCACGATAAAGATGTTTTTTTCTAACAGAATTCTGAGTTTAGAAAAAAGATGGACTAAAGGCATTGACTTGTCACGAGACATAGAAAAATAAATTATTTTTTTTAATTATAATCACCGTGTTTAATATTCATTAGCATTACTTCGGATCACCCCTCGTATATGCATGCAAATCGATGTCAATTTATGAAATGCTTCCTGCTCTATCTCTTTACACTAAGTAACAATAGAAAGATACAGCTATAGATATAATTAATACTTAATTTAGTAAGCGATAACCAACGATTATCTACAAACACATGAATATTAGCAACAAAAGAAGCGTTTTTGATGGGTTGGGAGTATTGGTGGAATCATTCTCCAACGAGGCCATAAAGAAATTCTTCTCTTAAAAGTCTAGTACGAGTCGTAAGTCATGTAAACTCACAAACTTTTTTCTCAAAGACCCCAAAGGTGAAATGATAAAAGATGATTCAATGTTGTTGCTTGTTTAATATGGTTGTGATTAAATAAAGTAGTACAACTAGATTTTTTGACAGTAAACTCGTAAATAGATCAGAATGCCGACAACTAATGATAAAGAAAGGTTCTCGTTCAAGCTAAATTAAGTAAGGACTAAAAATCAGGACCACGCTTTATACCAATCTAAGGAGTGTTTCGCTCCCCAACAATTGGTAACTATACATATTCAGTAGTGGGCATTTTTATAGAAGGATGACAAGCGAGGACACAGTTCACATGATATTAAGTGGATGGTATTATGACCTTCATCTAGCCTGAATGAAGAATCAAAATTTAAATACGTTGACAACCCTGACGACCAAGACAGAATGCCTCGTTACAAGTAAAGTGTAACCAGTCGTACCCAGTTGTACTCAGTTGTACCCAGTCGAGCTGTACTCATAATAAGCTTTAGTGTAGCTACACCATGTATACAACATATACAGACTGGTCATGGGTTGTCATTATTATTATGAAATACGTGAAAAAAAAATGTATTTTAGTTTCCTTACTTTTATAGTAATTATTTTCGTCCTAAGTATTGGATTATCAAAGGTCAACAATTTTCATTATAAACACAGCCACAAATAGTCTGTTACAAAATAATAGAAATTAAAATAAAAACTTACAGTTCCTTTATGCTTCCATTCCTGAGAACCTCCTAACTCATGGCATTTTCCCAACACTGGTGACACATTGTTAGTGGCATCCAGACAAAGAGTACGACCAAGAACGAACTCGTGACGATCAGTTTCAAACCACACCTGTAACAAGATAGTTTCTTGTTAATGTCAATGACAAAAATTAATATCTACGAATTTAAGGAACGAACGAATTTAAAAAGACTTATTACATATTTTAATAATAGATTTTAACATACAAACACTAAAATACTTTTTTTACGTGGTACAGCCATGCTGCAACTATATTAGACCGGGGAAAGATCACGCTCTCACAGAATACCAGAGTAAAATGGCAGCTTGACACTGCTGTGTTTCGTATGGTGAGTGTAAAGAACCGGAGACCCATTTTACTGGAAAAGAGGTAGTATACTGGAACTTTTCTGACACTGATAATGTGCTGACAAATGTTTTCATATTTTCTAACGCACGAATAATGCCGCTAAAATATAATATTTTAATTTAAACCTACTCATATGATGTTCATAAGAATTTTACACTACAATTATACCTATGTCACGTGGTAGAGCAACAATGCAAATATATTATGGTTGTAGCACGTATGCGCCGGCCCAACCGGTATAGGACCACACTCTTACAAAATACCAGCGTAAAATAGCAGCTCAATGCTACCGTGTTTCGTATGGTGAGTGTAGAGAACCGGAGACCATTTTTACTACATACGAGGTATTCCATTTTAGTCTTCAGGAGTAACAACTTATCTGCATTTTGATTCTTAATCAAATACGAGGATAGATGTATATGTCTATCGGCCACAGCATCTACCTATCGTGAGGTGGACTGTGTGCTGGTTTGTCACCCTTATTGAATAAAATCAAACTATTATGTACAAAAGCTTTTTATTTGCCGATTTAAAAAAATTAAGGAGAATGTGATGACGAGAGCTTTAATACCTATGCTCTATGTCTTGACGCCGACTTTTGAAGCTATTATACGAAAATTATTTTAATATTTTAAATTTTTTGAAGTCGGTTGTTACTGTTTATTAAGAGTCTATGTTTTTTCTCAACCATTACCTAATTATGTTAGATATATCGGATAATCCGGTCAAAATGACCCACCCCAACGTCCGTATAGTCATTTTCTACCCCCACACAAATCGCGAAAGACTAAAACCAATATACAAATTTAACCTGCGTTGGTTAATTATTATTTAAGTTTAATAATTTTTTTTATTTAGTTATATTACTGATTTTAGGCTTATGCGTCAATATCACTCCTTAAATGTTTAATTTATGCAGGGTCTCATTAACCCACAGGCTAACTAGGCTTGAGCCCAGGACGCAAGGTTCGAGGGGGCGCTGAGCTTGCCTTTGCAAGCACCAACCATGTACAGCATAAAAATTATACATGGTAAAAATAATTACATGGTTAAAATAAGACTGAATTATTTAGTATCTTTCGTCTTACGTTAGCTAACTGGATGTGATTCAAAGACTTCAAACTGCTCAAGCTCTCTTCTCTACCTCTTATTTTATTATTTTGTTTTACCGAGGCTGTCTAAGGGAACTTCTGTCAGTCATCTTTATTTGTGGTCCAAACAAATAGATTCTAAAAACTGAATTATTTGGTACCTTTCGTCTTTTGTTGATTGACTGGATGTGATTCAAAGATTTTAAACTGCTCAAGCTCTCTTCTCTACCTCTAATTTTACTAAGATGTTTTGCCAAATCTGTCCAAGGGAACTTCTGTCAGCTATCTGTTCCATCTTTGCGCAGGGAGAGTCGAGTGGGCCTGATGAAGTTCCTTCTATTGTACTGAAGACGGGTGCTACGGACGGTTACGGTACGGTTACTAACGCGTCTTTTCCGGTACTCATACTTCCTAGGTGTAATCCTGAATTTATGGAAAACAGCTTTAGTGCACCCGATCCTTAAAAAGGCAGACCCATTCAACTACAGGCTTATCACCAACGCCACCTTATCCTCCAAAATAATGGAATCCGTTATAAACTGCCAGCTCACAAGGTACCTTGAGAACCACCAGCTGATTAGTGACCGTATTGGCGGACTAACCACCTGGTTCTAGTTCTAATCTTCTAATTTACCTGACTCATGGATGAGCGAAAGCAGTAGAGTCCAAGAGGGAGGTCTTGGTCGTTACTTTCGACATAGCGAAGGCCTTCGATGGGCTTTGGCACAAAGTGCTTTTTTAGAAGCTTCCTTCTCGTGGGATTCCCGAGAAATGGTGCAATTGAATCATCAGTTTTCTTGCAGGTCGAGGCATCAAGGTAGACATTGCATACTTCGACTACGAGCATGTTAATGCTTGTATTCCACAAGGCTGCGAGCTGTCACCTACGCTGTTTCTTTTGTGTATCAATTATATGTTAGTCTTACCGTTACTGTTACTGGTTGTAACACTGGTGATACTTTTTACACCGCCCGTGCTAATACTTGAGATATATACCTGAAAACTTGAAGATGAGAGGGGACAACCAGTGCATGTTGCCAGTGATGATTTATGGATCTGAGACGTGGTCCTTCACTGCTGGCCGTATGAGGAAGCACACGATGGCTCAGCGAGCTATGGGGAGGGCTACGCTCGGGGTTTCGAGGGTCGGTTGAGGATGTCCGCAGTAGAACCAGAGTAACCGACATAGCCCAACGGATTAATAAGCTGAAGTGGCAATGGGCCGGCCATATAGCTCGAAGAACCGACAACCGATGGGGTAAAAAATAGTGACCGACCGAATATTCGGTTTCGGTTTCGGTTTCGGCAAGTTTCGGTAATAGTTTCGATTTCGGTAAAAAATCTGCCGAACCTTCGGCGGCCCCGAAACTCAGTGTTCGTGGTTTATCGTGCGTCATTTGGATGAGTTCGTGACTCGTGTATTATTCATAATTATCCAGAAACAGAAACTTTTTTTATTCAATATAGATTGTAAATAACACTTATTTAAAGTCACTCTTTTGTTTAATTACCACTGGTTCGAAAAAAAACCTCTGTCCTTGGAAGAACCAGCAAGAAACCCAGTGGGACTTTTTTTAAATAACAGCTTACCATTAGAGGCGTAGCGTGGACTAATATAAACGTGGACGAAGTTGCATCAGCGAGACGCCTTTAATTTCGTTCCAAGGATCTACGCAATAGATCTATCCTACCAAACATGATTTGACACGACATACGAGTGCGACACTGATAGTTTTTAGAACTGGCCACTTGTAAAGGATATAATAAAAAATTAAGTTCAAATTTTGAAAATGGAACTCTTCAATTCTTCAATTTTATTGTGTATGTATTTTATTAATTTGCCATTTGTTTACGATTTGGCGGCAAATAGAAAATTGTCTGTGTCACGTCAGCATGAATTTAACGCGACAAAATTTTCGTAAAATGATTTTTTATGACTATCGATGTCATTTAAATCAACAACAAAGTTATGATAGATTTCGATTGGCCTTTCACGATAAAGCTTCATCTCGTGTCACTGTTTACAACTGGTTTAATGAGCTTAAACGTGGTCGCACTAATCTCACCGATGATCTGCGTGATGGACGGCCTACTACGGCGACGACTGAAGATAACATCAGTGCTGTACGGCTTTTGATAAAGACTGACAAAAAAGTGACATATCAACAGATTCGGACAAGCTTAGGCATTGGTATGAGTTAAGTGCACAAGATCCTCCATGAACATTTAGCGGTCAGGAAGCTTTGTGTCCGGTGGATACGTCATAATTTGACAGAGGCCCAAAAACTCCGTCGTGTTGATTGGTGTCGTGAAATGGTTCAAAGATTTAACGGAGATGACTCAAATGCTGTGTTCTACATGCTTACGGGTGATGAAAGCTGGATTTATTGTTATGATCTTGAAACTAAGAGACAGTCTGCTGTCTGGGTGTTTCCTTCTGAGGAGTTGCCAACTAAAGTGAAGAGAGGTCGAAGCGTGGGAAAAAAGATGGTGGCCTTGTTCTTCGGAAGGACAGGTTATTACGCAACAATTGTTTTGAGGATCGAAAAACAGTTACTGCAGAGTTTAATTTTTTCAAAATTAAGCGAAATCGCGGACATTCACCAAATTGCTTGCCATAGATCTTTTTTGTGATTACAACTATTTGAGTTAACTTATTTATTTCTTGCATAAAAAAAACACACTGTCAACATCGCAGGCGTGCGGCAATAAGCGACTACAACTTATTTCATCCATTACAGCCTATAAAAGTCCACTGCTGAACATAGGCCACTGCCATAAATTATACCACATAGGAGGAAATTTGGCATAATAGCCACGGTTGGCAGGCGGGTTGGCAACTGCATTTTTTTACCATTTTAAGTTGCCCTTACCAGGCTGCTGTCCACCTCCTGTTTCAGTTTCCCTCCGTCGCCTCTTGCGTTTCCCACGGGACGATATGGAGTAGACCATCCCTTCAAGGTTCATCTTACACCACCACTACATGGTTTAACTTGACTTATTAACGTTGTTATTATCACTAAAACAGACTAGCGCAATACCAGCGCTGACCATGGACGTCGCACAGAATGCTACAAAGCCCAGTCCTAACACTTCGTCACCAGCATCTATTACGTAAATGCGTTGTTTGTTGTTTTTAGATATCACCTCCAAAACAATTTAAAGAAAAGAAATACTTCTCAGTAATATCGTATAAACAAGTTATGGAACACAGTTAGTAGCTAACAGAAAATACAAGATAACTCCAAAATTGATTGAACATATAAACCAACAGCAGCACCAACTTATTTAGTTGATTTGTTTTTATAATATAGGAATGACAAACGAGCATACAGTCCACCTGATGGTAAGTGGATACCGTGGTCCATAGACAATTACATTTATCCATGACTAGCTGTGCCCCGCGTCATCACGTGTAAGAGGTCCGCGACATGGCCTAGTTCAAGCATTTTATAATTGCAATTAAATATTTTATTTGATAGCAATGTATGGAAAAATTGGCATACTTAATGGAGTACTTTTATGTGTCGGCATATTATGTATTATGTACAGCGTAGTTAGGTTTTATCCACTTTCCTTTCCCCCCCCCCTACGTTCGAGAAAGCGTCCCGAAGCGCGGTTTTTTCCAGTTTTAAAGAAAACCGTACACGATACATGAAAAGTGTGTAGGCATGAAATGATTCTTGAGCTATCAAACTCTTATACTTATTAATCAATAAAATTTTCAAAATACCATAACAACGTGAAATGAAAGAGTTCAGAAATAAAGAAGTAACTAATCATTGTCATAAACTCAATTAATTTTTAATTTATTTTAGCTATAATGATTGGACAAACCTCGCTCATAAAAGCTGTCAATACTGGCTACCGGGCGGCTAGGGTTTATGCGTCGTTCGCGCGCGAAGCTAATTATTGAATTATTTTAATTTTACATTATCTCTTAAACTATGCGTCCAAATAACATGGTATAAAGTACAAAGTTTATCTTCATAAAATTGTCTTGATGATTAAGTAACTTTCATTCGTAAGGCTAAATAAGTCATGCCTAATAATAACGCTCATAAATCACTTTTTAATTTTCAATATTTTTTTTTCACAAAATACCTAATTATGGCTTATGTATAAGAAACAGACATATGGTATCGCGGACATTTTTTAGACGAAGTAAAGATCTATATTTTTCTAGAACATTGTATTTACGTATCCCTAACGATAACACCAGCGTACGCGGATAAATCATTTCGGGAGTGTTTTTTCTTCTGACTTGCTTAACAAATATCCATATTTAAGGCTAGCTGAGTAATTTAGCTTAATGCTAGATAGCCTATTTCACATGAATCTGGCTGTAATATACAAAAAGAATTTTTCAAATCGGACTGGTAGTTCCAGAGATTAGCGCGTTTAAACAAACAAAAAAACAACTCTTCCGCTTTATTATATTAGTATAGATTAGGGATCAAAATGTAGACGCGTTGTCATTCCTGAGGGCTAAGATGGAATACCTCGTTTCCAGTAAAAAGGGTCTCTGGTTCTCTACATTTACCATACAAAACACAGCAGAATAAGCTGCTATTTCAAGCTAGTATTCTATGAGAGCGTGGTCCTACCCCGATCGAGCCGACCCATTCGTGCTACAACCACAATAACTGCAGCTTGGCTCTACCACGTAAGAACGTCCTGAGAATAATTACGTCTTCCTTGCCCAACGTAGGCTGATGCTTTAGGTTGCATATCGTGTTGCTTTATAGAAAAATGGTTGCCAACCGAGAAACATCAGATATGCAATCAGGTAGTCAATACAATGATTTTTATAAACTAACTAGCTGACCAGGTAGACGTTGTTCTGCCCTTTTTATTAAAAATCCTTAAATTCATAATAAAAAAATATTGAGTGTCACTTATCAGGATAAACACAATCCTATCTCTAAAGTTGGCCCAAACTGCACAGAGTGTGCAAATTTCTTTGAAATCAGTTCAGTAGTTTAGGAGTTCATCGCGAATAAACAACGTGACACGTAATTATATATATAAAGATAATTACACTTTAATACTTGAAAAGTCATGTAAAAAGTCATTAGGGCCAAAAAAAAGCTCGAGATTTTATGTCACCAAAATTCCCAGTAGCAGCCCGGAGTTAGGAAATCGGCGGTGTTTCTCCCCGTGTTTTGGAAAGCAAGTAAAGCCCTATGTCCTACGCCTGATTTCTCGCCTGTCCAGTCGGATTGCCGTCCCATCAGACTATGTGAGTGGGGGAATAGAGAAACTACCTGTACTTGCACATATACTCTGGCCGCCACGACCGAAATTGGGTTTGGAGGACATTACTTCTGCTTCAGGCAGGCATTCCTAAATCTTCACAGTCATATTGTATAGTAAATATAACTAAAAGCTACACAATTATATGCTTAACTGATACACCCAAATATTAAACTACTAAATGAAGAATACCGCAAAGCAAATTATAATAAAAAAATATAATACAAGAATAAAAAATTATAATCATTACATTATTCGCAGCTATTCGCGAGTGCAAGAACAATTTGTTACGCGAGCAAAACGGAAAATGATTATAAAAGGCATTGACGTGAGCGCAATCCCTTCCTCCCAGCCCCGCACGCACCTCATCCATTTTCTTAAAATGCACAGCGATAAAAGCATACTTTAGAGACGCATTAATAAATAAAATATATAAATGCGGTTTAAATATAATCCTCATCATCATCAGCTCTTGAAAATACACTGCTGGATATGGATCCCTCAAGTCCGGGAAGATTTGTCTTCATCGTTACGCTTAGTAGGCGATTTGACGAGAACAGCGACAGACGTATCGCACCTTTCACGCTGCTGTCCGTCACTGGTTTAGGTACTAAGTCTGGAGTAATCGTGATTATGAGATTTCCTGGCATATCCCATAGCCGCCTCTTACGACACCCACGGGCCGAAATAAGGTGATGGGTATACGTAACTACTTCACCACACGGCAAGATTCATCGTCATTATTACAGTCCATTACAAGTCCACACATAGATCTCCAAGGAATGCCACATAGCACGGTCTTGAGAGACCTGCACACATCTACATCCTGCGTCTTTTACCAGGTCGTCACTCCATCTAGTCGGAGGCCGACCCAAAATGTATGCTTACATACTGCAAGCTTAAATATAAATTATTTACACACTCGCAAACAACATTCTTAATATTAACTCAAGCATTTTATTCAAACACGTTGATATGCAACACAATTTATTTAAAAAAAAAAAACATTAAAATCCCAGCGTTTGCAACGCAAAAATAATATTGGTTAAATATAAATTAGCACAGAGCAAATATAATTTTATCGCGGTTGCTCTCGTTACGCTAACATAACATTTTATATCAAATTCAAATCCAACGGTGGCGTTTCACGAGAATTCGCCCTTTGGCGTGAAGCGCCACCTACCAAAAAGGGCAGAACGTCTGCCGGGTCAGCTAGTATTACATAAAAACATTATTTCTTTTCAACATAATATTATAGTTGAAGACAGAGTTTCACACATATTTCATGTTAGTGTATATGAATATTTACTGAATACACAAAGACATTTAAGTAGTAGTATTAGACACCAGCAACAAAATGGTCACCTCTTACTTATTTCCTATGGGATATATTTCGAATTTGTGTCATTTAGTCTTAATGACATCGTCAAAAGCTAAAGATGCATTCGTTTCTTAAAATTAAAAAAATATTTTTAAAGAAAATATGCCCGATTATGCATTAAGGTATTATAAGTCCAGATATGTAGCAAAAACTGAATGTGATTTTGGTTTATTATCGCAAGTATAATGTATATTTACTCAATTATTTCTGGTATATTGAGGTCATTCTATATGTCGACGTCGAAGATTCCGCTACTGGCTACGGCAACAAGAGAAATGCTCTGAAATTGAGAAGTTACGGCAAATGTCTTCTTTTTAGCCGTAAACGCGCAAACTTGTGAATTTGTATAATAATTAATAAATAAATAAAAATAAAGAATTATGTGTAACGACTTTTAAGTTCAATGCTTTCTTAAAATATGTGAGATTTGAAATGTATTTTTGTAAAAGAAACAAATTTGAAAAACATGGAGGCGCTCTCTTATTAGATTTGACGTTTCGCGATATGCCTTCGACGCCGACCGAGCAATCATATTATGCAATTATTATAGCGTCTAATTGACCTAGTGACGTCATCCAAGATGCCACCAATGTGACTGCTGTTTGAATTGATTCTTAGTTATTGGAAATTAAATATTTTATTTTATGACATTTCATTTCATTCATGATGTTATTCATGACTTAAAAAGTTTATATGATTTTTATAGTGTGATGGGATTCATAATAAACAGATTTATACAATAAAACAATCATGCATATTCCCTATTATTATATCGTAAAGCATTACAAACTTAGTAACCTTCAACAACATTATCGATACTTTGATGTCGAAACGGTAACACAAGCGCAAGCTCAGTTTTCGTATGCAAATGTTTATTATGTCCGCTCTATAGTATGCCTATATATTTAAATCACTTTAACTGTACATTATTGAATATACCTGATTTAAAGTCCTTATGCAGTTGGCAAGAACCAATCCACTACCTTTGCTTTTAATATCCTTGGCACTCTGTACACACAAGTTAGTATTTTTCAGACGAATTTGGAACGAATCTGTGTAGTTACGCTTCCTGTGAAATAAATGAAGAATAAAATTTAATTTCATTCATAAATGACTGCGTTGCGTTATTTATATCCCTTTTTTTTAATTGAATGTTGTTTTTCCTGTATGCGTTATCAAGGCAAGTTCTATTTACAACGGGAGAGGAACTTGCCTTGATTGCCCAAAAACCCTCAGCTAGACACTGAGTTTTTACGGACTGATGATATAGAATAAAAAAAGGAAGAAGCAAAAATTTTATGCAGCAAAAAGTCCATATTGAAACTAAAGTAAGTTAAAGTTTCCGCTGTATAAATTATTTGAAATAGGTATTTTCTAAAGTTTTAAATTTAGTTCATAGTCTGTGTTCATATTTTATTGGAAAGAGTTATTTTTTACATTTTACCCAAAATTTGCATTGCATTATTTAAACAATTATAGCTAGAGACACATGGAATGATCTTTAAAGCTTGAAATTAATTTCGATAGCCTGAAATCCGTATCAAATATTATCCTGTATATTTGACTTGGATAATTCAGGGAAGTGTATAAAACTATGTAAAATTTGTAATATTTTCTTATATTGTAACGGTGTATATCATTGTCGTAAGAGAGGCCAAAGAAAACTCAACCAGGAGATAAGTAGCAGTATCTTCCAGGTAACAACAGCGTAAAAATAAAAAACTTCGGTTACCAACCCACTTGCCATGTGTGGTAATGACGGCAAACATCCTATGAGGTATAGATAGCTATGTGAGGCCTATGTTCAGCAGTGAACTTTTGATAGCCTGTAATCGAAATTTGTAAATTTTAAGAATACATACTAAAAATTCAACTAACCTAGAATGCCATGGTTGAAATTTGTTTTTATCTGGATCGTTAAGCGCTGCCATTCTCCGTTTCGCGGCTGTGTCCTCTCCAGTCTCCAGTTCAGGATAAACGTTATCTAGGTACCATTTGAAAGATTTACATTTAAGCTGTTCCCTCAATGCGATCCTTTCTGAAATATCGCCAATGGGAACATCTGCAGCAGCCGGGTTGTGTTCTATGACTTTTTTCTAGAATAAATATGATCTATGATCAGGAATTGATTGACTTTATTCCTACATCTCCCTTTTATGTTTAACAACTGATTATTACTGACGACGATTTAGCTTAAAAGTTGACGCAAAATTAATTGTCATATCTAGATAACAATGTCATACACAGGTTACAGGAGTACACGGACGACTGGCAACTTTTAGCGTGTTTATCACTCCAATAATATTATAAAAAATCGTTAACTGTTATTACTTTATGTTCACAAAAGTAATTTTTGACACAAATTTTGCAAATAACAAATACTAACAATAACATTAACGAGTAATTTTATTGTTAGTATTTGTAAATATGCAAATATGTAATATATATGTATGTAATATGCAAATATGTAATAAATATGTAAATTTGCAAAGTTAGTTCTGTGTCGATGTATTACACCTTTCTTATGAAGGAAGGTTCATTGAATGTTTGTATATTATAAAAATACTTGCTAAATTCTCCATTTATTTTATTTTATTTTTGTATCTTATTAAATAATTTAATTGTGTGCCTTGTGCCTTGCATATGTTTTGTTTTTTGTTTTGTTACGGTATTTTTTTTGCGTTGGCTTATTATTGTGCCTTTCTTTCCTAAATGTTAACAGTTTTTTTTATTATTATTTATAAATTTTATAAGTGTATTTTTTATTTTTATGTTGGAGCCTGTGATTGGCTAAGTTGATTTTATTGCACCTATGTCTCTGGCGTTTACTGAAAATCAGCGTTATATTTATCACTATGTGGTTTCTATAACATTTGTGCTGAGTAGACGCCATTTTAGTTCCATTCCATTAATTTATTTTGTTATGTTAATTTGTGTTTTTGTTTAGAACTAAATAAATTATATTATTATTATTATTATATTATTATTATTAATTATGAATTATGTATGACGTACATACTTACCACATATTCATCCATCCACACACGCGCCATACGCATAGAGTTATGTACCATAAAATCTTCCTTCTCACCGAGTCCATACGGTCTTCTTTTCCGGAACACGTGACCAACCCGGCTGCATGGAATAAGCTCTAGGACTCCACCGCACATCCAAATCTGGAATATTATAAATATCATTGCTTAATTTTAATTTATAAAAGAACTTATACAATTGAGTGTTATTTAGCATAGTAGGGTTAGCATAGTATTCATGTTTTTGTCAGCAGAGAAATGTAATCTAGCATCAGAGATAGATAATTGGTTAGCCCATGGCTAGCAAACATTATTAAATAAACCGACAATTTTTGACATTTTGGACGGCTGTAGTTTTTTTAGTACAGCATATTAATTATATAAGCTGCAATGATTGACTCATGTTTATAAAATCTTGATAAGCACTTAAAGGGTAAGCAACTAATCTAATTTTTGAAGTAATATTAAAGTGTAGTCAACGGAGCCCCGCTAAGCGGACTCCTATTTCTGGGTGGTTTATAAAGAAATAACCACAAGGGGATAGAAGGGTATGTACGCTCGCTTCGCTCGTTCACTCGATCCCGCCATCCCCTTCTAACCTAACCTGTCCGAGTCGGGATGACCCAAATCTCGAGCTCGCTTCGCTCGCTCTTGGCCTCATAATTTTTACCTACACTCTATGATAGTGCCATGGCAAAGGATATAAACTTAAAAAGCAATGTAAATATTTAAAAAAATAAAGTTATTATGTATTGTGATGACATAAGCAAAAAAATTGGGCATGATGTTAAATAACTGTTGAAAAAGACATCTGATCAATAATTATTGCATGCCTGGAGCATCCTTTAGTCATATAATGAATAAAGTTTTAGCTAGTAAATTTTGTCCTAATAGCACATTAATAATTCTTGTTGGGAGAAGAGGCAATGTAAACAAAAATCAATTATTAAAATATATTGGTAATCTAAATACTTTAAATGTACATAAAATTATCTTGTTTACATTGCCTTACATACAGGGTTGGCCGCAGGAAAATAAAATAAGATATGATTTAAATTTATTAATGAATAACTTTTCATGTAATAATAATTTAAACTTGACATTTAATTGTTACAATTATAGAAACAGAAACAGAAACTTTTTTTATTCAATATAGATTATAAATAATACTTATTGAAAGCAGGGCTCGGAAACCGGTTTAAATTCTGAACCGGTTTCGGTTATTGAACCCATAACCGGTTTTTGCGGAATACCGGTTTTAACAAATTTAGGTTTAGGTAGTTAGAATTAACCGGTTAAAACCAAGTTTGTTGTGTCCCCCCTCTCCCTTACCTCGCTTGCACCCAACTTTGTACGGTTGCCCTCTGTCTAATTCACGAGGTTTTTAGACAAAAATATGATATATTCATTGCATCAACGCGACTGCCTTGTAACGTACTCCCTCATATTTTTTCAGCTTAAAGCAACGATCGTATTATAAATAACAGAAGATGTAAATTCTGTTTCAATTAATTATGCGTTATCTTCACTTTAAAATTAAATTTCGATATTAAGTTTAATTTGACTTTAATTATATGTAACATTTTGTATTAAAATTACGCTTTGCATCTTTAATTCAATGTCATTAGTTTTAGTAATATATCGCATTAAATTATGAACTTACTTAACAGAACACGATATTTTTAAAACTTTATGAAATTATATGTAATAGTATTTGTCCTTTTTAGGACTAACTAGTGAGGCAGATTACCAGATTTTTTTTAAATTCAGAAGCTTGTGTTTCGGGCCAAGCTCTATCAAAGAGTATTAAGTGCGCAAAAAATGTCATAAACGTAAAAAATTCTACCAGAGCTGAGTGTCCCATATTTATGTATCTTACATTTACTGCCACTATCCCTTTTTAATAACCATTATGTTGTTTAGTATAATTATATTATAATTTGTTTTAATAAATCAAACACTACGTGTATCTCTTAGTTCTAATATTATTATTTTCATACGTTTGGTTTATTTGTCGTTTATATTATATTTATTTTTGCACACGAATATTAATTGTTAATTTATTTATTTGGGTGATTAAATAGTTCTTGTACTGGCTGAATAAATAATGAAACAAATCAATTGCTATTTGTAATATAACAAGTGATGTACACATAATATTATACTATAGTTAATGAAGTATATGGGTGCTGACAGAATAACAGCATTTTAGATTCTCTGCATCACATGCTGAGTCAGAACCATTTCATTGTCCTTCTTAAATTTTATTTTTGATTTAGTTTAACTTTTAATTGTTTTGTTACTTTTCGTCAATGACTGAATATTTTATTATTATTATTAATATTAAAGCTGAAAAATGTTAAAAGAAAATACTTGTTTCATACCCTAAAAGATATCTCCAAGTTCTCACCACCCCAAACATTCATTCCCGGATCATATTTCCCAATATAGTTAAAATATTCCCGATAAATTGCAAACAATCCTCCAGCCATGGTAGGTGATCTAATAGGTTTCACAAAATCTTCCAGCTCTGCAATAACACATTTTAAATTGTAAATTTATGTTCATGGTAAGCTTCAACATTGAAGAATAACTAAGTCTGCAAACAAGATATTACAATTATTTTAAAATCTTTAAACTAATGTGTGAAGGGAAACTTTTATAATCCTTCCAAAGCACATTGCACGCTGTTGCAGTGTGAGGTTTAGCATAGTTAAAGTTTAAATGGATAGGGAGTGCAGAAATTTAAAATTTATTTAAGATATGTATTATAAATATATTAAATTAAGTTAAACTTTAGTGTTAATATGTTAATAAAACTTTACTTTGTCATGTTATTGTTGTCATGATTTTAATACGACAAACAGTTTACCTGACAGTAAGTGGATGTTTTGACCCTAAGACACATCATCTATTCTCAATTATGAATCAAATGCAGCTATGCATTGTTACTCCTTGGGATTAAGACTTGTTACCAATAAAGAGGCTCTCTGGACACAGCAGCATTATGCTGCTAGGTAAAAAGGCGATACCAAGGTAAGTAAGTAAGAGCCCCACTCACTAATAGATGGTCATACCATTACTATTTACTACTCAAAGACGGAACATCAAACTTACCCTTCAATGTACCCTTTGGTAAATTGTCCCATTTAAAATGAAGGCCCCAATTAAAACCGCCCCTTACTAAGGGACTCGCGGTGTACTCAAATGTATCAGCATTAATAACATCAATTATGGGAGCAACAGCCCGAGGAGAATATCGCGTAGAAATCCCATCGACTCCCTCGGAGAGTCGTGCTAGCATCGGAGGCAGCCAATCCACGTTAACTTCTATATGTGAATCCAAGAACACTAATACCTGTGACAATACCACTACAGTTAACTATTCAATAAAGAGTCACTTAGAACCAATTTAATCAATCATGAGGTTATTCATAGGTAAAATACAACAAACACAAATTAAAAATTATAGTTTAATGAATAATATAGTTAAGTGGTTTATTTTTTATATTCAGTCAGTTTATAATTAATCTGATGCATAACTTTTATTTGACGATGGAAAAATCGGCCCTTAATCGATTAAGCAAACAAAAAGTTTTTTTTTTTATAGGACAGGGTGACAAACGAGCACACAGTCCACCTGATGGTAAGTGGTTGCTGTGGCCCATAGGATGTCTACATTTATCCTCATTTGCGAATCAAAATGCAGATGCGTTGTCACCCGTGAGGACTAAGATAGAATGCCTCTTTTCCAGTAAAAAGGGTCTCCGGTTCTCTACGCTCACCATACGAAACACAGCAGCATGAAGCTGCTATTTGACGATGGTATTATGTGAGAGCGTGGTCCTTCCCCGGACGAGCCGACCCATTCGTGCTACAACTATACTACTAATGTAGCTGCAGCATGGCTCTACCACGTAAATGTTAAAACTGATATAGAATTATGAAGTTCTGACTAATAAGACCAAAAAAATTAGAAGAAAATACTCACCTCACCAACACTATTATCAGCACCGTATAATCTCGCGCGAATCAATCCCTCTCTTTTACTTGTCCTTAGTAATCTTATATTTAACCCATTTCTCAAACTCACTTGTTTATCAGTTGATTTCTTATCTACATTAACATTATTATTGTCATCGTTTATGTAATCTACAAAATTTTCTCCATCTATGTTATTTGTTTCTAACATTTCCTCTTCTTTTCTCATCATATTATTTAGTTTGTTTACAGCTTTTTGAACATCTACATATAATCCATCCAAATCACTGAAGTCATCAACTAAAATTATCTCTTTTAAATATTCTTGATCTGTGCGATCCAGTATGGAATGAACTGATCTCATAAGGGTCTCAAAATGTTCATTGTAAAAGCAGATTATAATTGACGCCTTTGGCAATTTATTAACATATTTTTGAGTCCGACACCTGTGTAAAAGACATAAATTTTAAAATGTGAAACCATTACATTGTTTGGCTTGAATAAATTCAAATTCTTGCCCACACGCAACAAACTGGGGTGATTGATTCTCTTAGGCTACCATAACATGTCAAGGATCACGTTATTACCAGACCAGGCGGAGCTATAGACCGAACCACCGCTAGGGTCGGGATAACTGATACTAAATATCTTTTCAAATAGCACACTCATCAGAAAAAGCCATGGGTTGACAAAACGCTTTGGTCATCAGAATAAATAAAATAACATTTATTAGCAACCAAATATGTCTAATAACCAAAGGAGTTCTGTCTTCTGAACTAGGTATGTATCCAAGGAAACAGTGCCTCCCCTAATTTTTAGTTCTTACGGGTGTATTCATAATCATTTTTAAACAGTTCATTAGTTAAAGTGTTTTGTCACTTTCTAGCAACAAGTATCTCGCAAATGTCAGAATGAAACAAAACACTTTTTAACTAATAAACTGTTTAAAAATGATTATGAATACACCCGTTAAGTCTATATTCGGTAAGTACTTACATAAGATGATTCATTATTCATTAATTAATATTAGTCTATGGTGGTTACTGCTAGGTATTGTTTAATGTGAGTGCGCCTGTGCGCGTTCGCGTGCTTTTGCATGTGCGTGTGCGTGCGTGGGTGCGTGTGTGCGTGCGTGCGTGTGTGCGTGTGTGCGTGCGTGCGTGCGTGCGTGCGTGCGTGCGTGTGTGTGTGTGTGTGTGTGTGTGTGTGTGTGTGTGTGTGTGTGTGTGTGTGTGTGTGTGTGTGTGTGTGTGTGTGTGTGTGTGTGTATTTGTCTGTATGTGTTTTAATGATTACATTTTATTTTAATATTGTAAGATTTTCAGTTTGGATATAATCAAGATTTTGCAGCCATTTCAGTAAATTTTTTTTAAATCTATTGGTGCTTAGAGTTAAGGCTAACAATATTCACAATGGGAATTCTATTATAAATGTATGGTACTATGAAATTGTAGTGTCGTTGCATAAAGGTGGTTTTGGTAATGGGTATAGGGCACCGAAATTTACTGGTTCGTGGTATTAAGTAGGCAGTTACACGGTGGTATCACAGGAGAGCTTGAATTATAAATAATTTGTGAACTGTGATTACCTGAGTCTCATTGTAGACTTCATTGGTAGGATGTCGGTATGGTAACTGCATTAATACCTTTAAAATTGCTCTTTGCGCACATTAAACTTTAATCATTGTTGTTTTCGGTGCGCCACCCCACGTCGTCACACAATAATTAATGATAATTTGGCAGTGCTTTATAACTTTGAATAAGACCGCGTTTATTACTAGACCAATGAGGTAGTTTAATACTACACATATAGAGACTGATAATGTCCTCCTAGCCAATATTCAACCACATGGTGATGACTTCTTTAAGCTATCAACTGCACAGAAAATATTATAATGCCCCAAGTGTCTTCTCAAGCCCAGTATAACACTATGAATACAACACTTATTATTATATTAGTATTGAGATTGACAGTAAACTTAAGACTGCATGATCAAGTATAATACATACATTTTGTTCCTAGTGTCTGGTAAACCTCTGTGATTTCCAATTCTCTGAGAGATAAGTGCATTAAATGCATGCAAGTTGTAACCCTTTTCCCGAATTCTTACATCTTCCGCATTACGAATTAAACCATATTGATCTTCTGTAAATAATATGCAAAATATATAAAGTAAAACAGATTATGAAAATTTTAAATAATAAATGTCAATACTTTTCTAGTAAGAAAAATATTTTTATAAATAATCCCAATAGTATAAAAAATCACATAAGGTTTTTGAGTTGTGTTTGGCTAAGTTTTAATACATATACTATCTTATTAGTAAAAGTACTTTTTCAGACTGACATTGGTATTGTTTTTTTATATAATTAAAGCATGAAGCACGAAGGTCAATTTCTAGCCAAGCTGAGTAATCGGCTATCGCCTAAACTGTCAGCCAAACACAATTAATCGGCTATTGTTACAACCTTCAGCCAAAGCCGAAGGCCTAAAAATCCTAAGAAATTCAGTTCAATATTGGCTAAAATTAATAACATAAATGATTGTAATTTTTTTAATTAAAAATTTATAGCCTCATTCTCAACAGTTCGATCAATTTCGGCACTTGCTAGCAACCTTCGGGCTTGGCCAAAATTTCGACGACATAGGGGTAGAAGAATCAGGCTGAAGTAGGTTTCTTTGAAGGTGGTCTATTTTTGGCCAAAGGTGGCCGAAGCTAGTCATTCTTCAGTCGGACACTATATTAAAGTGATGTTTATGAGCTTACAGTTAAACTGATGGTAGGTGACTATTGCCATCCATGAATGTCTCACAGTAATTGGCTGTCTATACTAATGGCCAACCCAAGGTAAACAGTTAAGGTTTAACTATCTGTTACTGTCGTTTCAATAACGTGATGTTCAAAAGCTTAGCCGAGATAAAAGATAGATAGCTCATGTTAACTTTGGTTAGTGCAACCCTCCTAAGTGTTTTGTTTTTCCTTCAAAGTGATTTTCGTCACCTTTTATAATAAAGTATTACGATGCATTTAAAATATTATGATTATTATATAATGTTTTCAATTATTTTAGTTATTAGTTTTTAATATAATATTGACTATTATTCCATATATACTATTCTAAATTAAAGTTTGTATCAAATAATAATAAAATTTTATCTTAAAAAACGAAATAACGAAACGCAGCACTTGGTGTTCAGCATTGACATTGACACTTGCTTTACTTGACAGTTTGTATACACCACAACCAAACGTAGTGATTATATTCTCTTTAACCACAACCAAAAATCGTTGAGCTCAGTTGAAATAACTTATAATAAAATTTCGATATTCCTTTATTCCTAAAATGTTACAATAATTGACATTGATGTTTATTGTTCAAAGTAATGTTGGGACATTATGTAAAAAATTTTGTTCACAAGTTTATTTACTCACCTCGAAGAAGATCGAAGAAATTACTTTTAAGACTGATGTTATTTTCAATAATAATAACTCATCCACGGTCATTTTATTTAATCTGAATCTAAATAATATGTAAACCAGAGTCAGAAAATTCAAGTCTGTAATTTATTTGAGTATAAACTCGGCTGTTTTCAGTACTTATCTACAATACCTCCGGAATCAAAAACACGCATGTCATACATTTCATTATCACTTTCATCACTGAACAAATCTATTTTTTAGATATTAAATAGGTTTTATTTGTTGTATTTGAAGAAAGAATGATAACGTGTGGATGGATAAAGATGTACAAAAGGTTGTGCAAGAAAAGAAGAAAGCGTGGTTGGATTGATTAGCAACAAAAGCTAACCAAAAAGTTCAAAAGGCAACGGATGACGAGATAAAGGAAGCAAGAACGAAGTATAAAAGATTGAAAACAGCAGCGAAAGAAATTGTGTCTAGAAAGAAAGAAGAACGAAAGGATGATTTCGATAGGAGGCTCACTGAAGATTTCCAGTCAAACATTAAGTTTTTCTGGAAAACCATCAAAGCAGCCAGAGGAAAAACTTCTACCTCGGAGCTGAGTACAATCAGGAGTCAAGATGGGAGCATTATAAAAGGAGAAGAATGTGTGTTAAAGAGATGGAAAGAGTATTTTGAAAGTTTGTTTGAAAGAGAGGAAGTGCAGGTACAGCATCTGCCACCTTCCACGGAAACTAATATAAATGTTGATGAAAATGAGATAAGCATGGATGAAATAGTGAAAGCGTTGAAAAGTATGAGATTAGGTAAGGCTGCAGGATATGACAGGATTACCGTCGAGATGCTGAGGGCTGGACAGGGCCTGGTGGCTAGTCAGCTGTACCGCCTTTTCAATCTGTGCTGGCGAAATGGGTAAGTACCGGGAGACTGGTGCAAAGCCGTAATCGTGCCATTGTATAAGGGAAAAGGGTCACGGCAGGACTGCATAAATTACCGCGGTATAAGCCTTCTCAGCATCGTCGGTAAATTGTATGCGAAAGTGTTGATTGAAAGGATTGTGAATGAAACAGACAAGAAAGTATGGGATGCACAAGCGGGATTTAGAAAGGGAATGGGATGTACGGATCAGGTTTTTTCCTTGCGGTGCATAGCCGAAAAGTATTTGGCTAAAAACAAGAAAGTCTACTGCGCGTTCGTAGATCTAGAAAAAGCCTATGATAGAGTGGTGAGGAATGAATTGTGGTCAGCACTGTCCATGAACGGTGTGAGCAGTATCCTCATACGAGCAATGCAATCTCTTTATAGGGATTCTAGTGCTTGTGTAAGGATAAACGGGGCATACACTGAATGGTTTAATATCGAAAAAGGTGTTAGACAGGGATGTGTAGCGTCACCGTGGCTGTTTAATCTGTTCATGGACAATTGTTTGACAGATTTAAAAGAGAATGAAAGTGGGTTGAGAATGAATGAGTTACTCGTCAAATGTTTTCTCTATGCTGATGACCAAGTATTACTTGCGTCTTCGGCCGAGGAGTTGCAGGAGATGGTAACTGCTATGAGTGGAGCTTTTCTTAGAAAGGGAATGAAGATGAATGTAAGGAAGACGAAAGTGATGGTGTTTGAAAAAGATGAGGCAGTGACAGACTGCAACATTGTGATTGAAGATGAACAAATTGAACAGGTGAAAGAGTTTGTGTATCTGGGTTCAAAGTTTACAAGAGATGGAAAGTGTGAGAGTGATATCGAAAGAAGAGTGAATGCAGGAAACATGGTGAATGGAGCTTTGCACTCCTTTATGAGCAGTCGGAAGGTGTCTAACAAGGCTCCTTGGCTGTGCATGAGGGGGTGTTGGTTCCGACACTCATGTACGGAAGTGAAACTTGGGTATGGCAGAAGAAACATGAAAGCAGAATAAATGCAGTTGAGATGAGAGCATTAAGAAGTATGATAGGAGTTAAACTAAGTGACAGGCTAAGAAATAGTGAGATAAGGAAACGTTGTGGTCTGAAAGAAGATGTAGTGACAAAAATTGAGAAAGGTATGCTGAGATGGTTTGGCCATGTCGAGAGAATGAATGAAGAACGATTGACGAAAAAAGTGTATAAGGCGAGTGTGAATGAGTGTTGGAAGGGGTAGACCTAGGCGGACATTTCTAGACCAAATCAGGGACGTCTTGAAAAAAGGCCAGGTCAAGAGTACCCTAAACCGTAGAGCATGTATGAAGGGAATAATGAAAGTGGACGAAGCAAAACAAGTATGCAAGGATCGTAGCAAGTGGAAAGAACTGGTCTCTGCCTACCCCCACGGGAAAGAGGCGTGATTATATGTATGTATGTATGTATGTATGTATTTGTTTAAATACATGACAAATATTTGCTAATTTTCAAAATTGGGAGATAGACAAAAACATCTGGTAATTTGAACTATCGCCACACTGCCAATACGTTGTTGAAACAGTCAGATGTTTTTTTTCTATGAACCCACTTAACTTAGGTAGTCCGTAAGTCCTCCTTACGGTAGATCAATGTGATGGTTAAATATTTCTATCTATCTTTTATTATTGAAATGGAAAAATGTAACTATAGATACCAATGGTAGCCATTTTAGCTTCCAGTATGAGATAGATAAGTTATTGAGACCGGCCGTAAATCTACAGTGTAGATAGATCACTTTTATCATCAATAGTTATTCTATAAAAAGTAATGGTAACTAGTAAATGCAATCAATATAAACATAAAGAATCATATTATTTAAAAAATGCAATCATAGATACATGGTATATGATTGTATTTTGATGATGTAATTATAGTATCTAAGGTCACACTGGATTAATAATATTGTACTACTGGTGGCAAATATTTTTACCTCAAGATCCAATTTTATTCTATTTCATTTTATTAAATTTAGAAGTGGTAGGACAGTTATACTGTAGTACAATAATAAAGTATATGTAGTGTAGGGTTGCCAAACATCCTGTATTCCCAGGACATGTCCTAGTTTTTGTAGTGTCCTGAGATGTCCTGAATAGTTTTAAGCAGCATCCTCAGTTTTTTAAAGCGCCCTGATAAGGTCATGTACTTTTAAGATCATGGCATTGAAATTAACGACGAAAAATTATTTGACAAGATAGACAGTGCATCGATAGCGTGGCAAAGCAAAAACAAAAACGAACTGACACTTGCATACATAGAACATACATTCATTATGTTTTCAGTTCAATTCATTACAGTTATGTTTGTCAAGGCCTTTACTGCACCTTGTTTTTAAACTGAATTGTCTTGTTTTTTCCAACTTCAAATCCTAGTTTTTTAAATTTGGGTTTGGCATCCCTAGTGTAGTGCAATAATAGTTCATTATTTGTACAGTTGCAAGTGACAAACACTATTACTATACAATACTTCAAGTCACGTACATTTGTCACCAGGTGGTTGTAGACAAGCACTGGCTATATGTTAAAAAACAAGCCCTCACTTTTTAAGCAACTTGTTAAATATTACATAAAATTTTGCCAAAATTTTTAGTTTTTTATTGATTAAACAATCTATTATATCTATATCTCACCTAAGCTCTTATCGGGCTTAGCAGACAATTTCATTCCTTGTTGTTTCAGAAACTTCTCTTTAAGCATTATCTTTCTTTTGAATTCAGCACGATTTTTCTGATACTTCCACATCTTACCAACATATTTATTATTAGCAGCTGGGCTATCATAGAGCATGCTCTTTCCTTCTAATTCTGCAATAGATTTGTCATTATTTTTTATTCTGATTTTCTCCTCAGAGTTGATTAAACGATAATGCATCTTGTTCTCTGCATTTGTTACAACAGTTTCGCCTAAAATTAATCGAAATTTATATCATTATGTAAAATAGTGAACAATAAGATAATTTATTTTTTAATTGTTTTATGGTTATTAATAATTTTAATACAAAATTTACATAATTATAAGACTGGTTAATTTTATTTTAAACTTACCACTCATATTTAACAACCAATAAAGGTATAAAGAGATGCTCCATGTCGCTGAAGCAAATATTATACCCCATAGGAAAGAATTGTTTATTTTTCCCATAGTTTTTAATCAGATATAACCTGTATTTTCAGATTTCATCCGCATGAACAATCGACGCTAATGCTGATGCAAAGTAGAAATACTGGTCCTAGTCCAATAGGTCATTTTATATTCTGATTAGTCTCAGTGGATACGTTTAGGTTTAATAATAATTTTAAAATTTAGATTTCAGTACAAGATAAACAAGTACAGAATATAGATGCATATTGTATGCTAGTCATGAATAAAAAATATTAAAAATATATCGATATTTCGGTTTCGATATTTTAAATCGCGATATTTTTCCATTTGCCCATCCCTATTGTATGCTTTTATGTAGGTAGAATTCTAAGTTTCTAAGTCTATGGTACAATAAAGTAGGCTTGGGCAGGGCTGCCAATTTTTTTTTAGGAGATCGTACCATAAACTAGAAAAGATCGTATTTTGCTAAGAACTCAAAAAAAGATAGTACTCGTATGCATCAATATTTCAATAAAAGAACGATAAAAAATACAAAAATAATATTATTATATTATTATTATAGACACTAAACTTTACTTGCTACGACTTTTTTTATTAAAAAAAAAGGGCTCGGACTATGTCAACTCTGCCCTCTATTACAAAAATATACAAATTAAAATAACAAAATATGTAACATATGATTATCTCCGTAGTGTACTATTATTTGGATTAGGACAAATAGAATGACCTAAAACAAACTCGAAGAAAGGCGATTAAACAGCGCGGGGAATTCCTTAATCGGCGGCGAGTTGGCGGAATAGCATAATACCACAAACTAATAAGAAGTGTTAGTACTCTGCGTATTTCTAATGGAGGCTCTTCACGTTGGCCAACATAGTGGCGAATGTGTTGGCAGAGTTATTGACCAATAATTTGTGATCGCGTCCACACGTTGGAAGGTCGTTCAGTTTGCTTCGGTTCAGGCCAATGTACGGAAGAATTTATTAAAATGATTATTGAAGCGCGTGGGGGTAACGTTTTAAAAAAAAAAGACTTGAAAGACTTGTGTTTCACAAACAATTTTCGGCTTGGTAGGGCTCTATAAAGCGAAAAGTTTTTCCATTGGTCATTGTTACTGCCATTACCTAGACACCAGTTACGATGCGTACATATAAAATTAAAATCAGGTGCTTGCGATCACTCTGGGAGCTCGTAGCAAACTGAACGTGCGCCCAACGTGTGGACGCGGCGGCCAATACTCTGCCACAACCCTTTGATCTTTTGTAAAAAACCGACACCACACGGATCTCGCGCCAACTTGTGGGGTATCATTCCAATACATAGCAACGTAAGAACTTGTAAATAACATTTTAAAATGAATAAATATCGTTTACTAAGCCTTCCATTTCGATTTGTTACATGTTTTAAATTTTATCCTTCATAATGTAAAATAAACCTGTAGCAAAATAATAAACTTACTTCCAAAACTTTCAAAGTCGGTACAGCAGTTTCATTTAGTTTCTTTTTATTATTTGATTGGATTACGAAAACCGATTGGTCAAAATGCTCGGAACAAATAGTGCTTGTTCGTTTAGGTACCCATGTTATATGATTGCCACATGCTTTTATACAAACTTGGCGCCTGTAAGGATCTTTTGGAAAACTGTAAAACCATAGAACTTTTTTAAACATTGTACAAAAAAGAATTTTAAATAACACCTTGGTGTTATATATCAAGGTATTACTTATAGTCAAATAAAAACATCGACACTATAGATTACAGTGAACATCACTATTATTGTCTTGATGATACCATTTTATATACTCGAAATTCCCCTTTTCTTTTCATAACGTAACAAAACGAAAGGAAAATATCTATTTAAAATGTTTTATATACAATTAAACAATTTAAATTGATGTTTTCATTTCGTTAAAAACAATTAAAGATTATTAATGCTGTTTGAAATAATATAGTTTTGCAAATAGATCACAATAACATTGATGAATTTAAGACTATTCAATAACAGGATTTTGTCTTGTGTAATTAGAATGAAGAGAAACGACATTTGTCTACAATTAAGCAAAATTTAATTATGTCCTAGTGGTGCAAAAGTCCTTATTATAAACTATAAACTAGTACTTATCAAATGTGTTTAGGACAGATGAAAGCACGTTTACTCGAAACGGCATATGGAACCGACAAACCATGCGTCACTGGAGCCATACGTATCCCCATTTATTTAGGGAATCAGCTCATCAATACCGATTTTTCATTAATGTTTGGGCAGGCATTTACGGAGATCAAATAATCGGCCGTATTTTTATTGACGGAAACCTGAATGCACAGAAGTTTCTCAATATTCTTAACGGCCCAATAACAGAATATTTAGAAGAATTGTCTGTGGCAGTTTACGAGCGGATTCCAGTTAGATAGAGCTCCTCCACACTCCGTACTCCTCGCGAGAGAGCGGCTAACACCATGTTCGGCGAACAATGGATAGGGCGCTATGGCCCTCGCAGGTGGCCAGCTCGGTCACCCGACCTCACTCCTCTAGGCTTTCTTTTAAGGGGCTTTATTAAAAATGAGATGTACTCAAAGATCTCCGAAACCGAATATAAACTGCGCAATCGCATTGTTGCCACCTTTGACAAATTAAAAGCCCTGGCTCTGGATCCTGAACGAAATTTGTTGAGCAGGCTTCAGGACAACATTATGCGGCGATGTAACTTGTGTATGCAAGAACGTGGCGGATATTTTGAAAATTTTAAAATTTATGGTTCCACAAAATTTTGCAACTAATATGCAATGATATTTATTTCGTTCAGTTCCATTTTCGCGAAATAAAAAAGTGGCGGTAAAATACCTAAATAGTTTAGTAAGTAAGTTTTTATTTCGTTGCACATTGTCACACGAAAAAAAGGCCGAATTATTAATAATAGATATTGAACCGACCCCCTCCCCGCCCCATTGCGATTTGTCACATGTTTTCAATTTCATCATGTTTATACTTCAGATTTACAGACATAAATAGTAATTTTTATACAAATAAAAGTTAACGAATTATACTTCATATATTCAACATAAGTAGTAACATCTGGAATATTTGAAATATAATTTAATTTGTTTCCAAGCATAAGAAATATTGTAAATCTTATCTAATCTAAGAGAAAGTTTAACCGTAGAAAGTACTTGAATGTTCCTTGTTTGAGTTTTTAAACCCTTTTAGTAACTCCATTTGCAAAAGTTTTTATTTATGAACCTTTACATTTTAGAATAAACCATGCACGTTTGTTAATCTTGAAGAACAATAATTAAAAAACGAAAAGTTGATGAGCAATCGCTTGTGACATCAAAACTACCTCAGACTATAGCGAGTGACTTAAAACTGGCTGCGTCTTCTTCGGAACACGATCCTGTGACACCTTCCTCAAGTTTCACACATAAATTACAAGATACACCACGAAAACGAAAATTGAAGCAACGCTTACAACAAAAAAGAAATCATATTAAAAGGCTCCAATCACAAAAACACTATTTAAAAAAAAAGTTGTTGGTTTGCAAGAGTTATTAAATGAACTATCCGTAAAATCTTTAATAAGTAAGGAAAATAAAGTTGTTTTACAAAATATTGGGGTTGAACAAAGTGAACTCATAAACAGACAGCTGCTTAAAACTAAAACGGGGCGTCTACCTAGGACTAAGTATTCTCCAGAACTCAGATGTTTTGCTTTGACTTTACATTACTATTCGCCGAAAGCTTATCGATATGTGCGCAAAACATTTGGAACGTGTCTGCCCTCACCACGTACTATAACAAAATGGTATAGTACAATTGATGGCCGACCTGGCTTCACAAAGGAAGCGTTAACTGCTTTAAAACTTAGAGCAGAGAGTAACCCTGACAAGAAATTCGATACTTTTCTATTTACACTTACTTACCTACTACGTTTGAATACAAGTAATTTTAATTTTTGATTTGATAACAATCGTCAAGTTTATTTTTGTACCATTGAACTTACGAAACTACCTTTTTGTGACTTACTAGGAAACGGGTAAGTAAGTATGATTTTTTAATTGGTTGTTTTTATGGGTTTTTTATCATGTGAAAATAATATTTAATCTCTAAATCTACAAGAACACACTTAAACAAAAAAGCTTTAAAGTTTAGCTTTAAATACTTAGGACGTAGTGTTTTAGAATTATCATAACAACACGATAATTCTAAAAAAACCATGCCCTAAGTCAGGGGTCGGCAACCTTTTGAGTCGGAAGAGTCAAAAATTACAATTACAAAATTTCTAAATTTTTAAAGAGCCCCAAATTTTTTCTTGCCAACCATAAATAGTACTTGCATAAACAAAGTTTTTTGGTAAAAAAAAAACTAATCTATTTATTCATAAGAAAAATATATATTTATTCATATATAAAAAGTGTTTTTCACAATAAATTCTATTATATATAAATATTTCGAATCTAATTTCTATTATTATTATATATGGTATTATTAGATAATCACTTATAATTTAAGTAAAAAATTAAAACAATTAAACATTATTTACATTGTAATTCTTACAACACTAACTTGTACTTCAATAACAAACATTTGAGCAAACAAATTCAATGGGAGCTTTGGCTTTGTATGGTTATTCAAGTAGAAAATTTAAATTTTACTGAACAACTTTTACTTAAAAATAAAAAACAATAACATACATTTAAGCAAACAAATTCAATGGGAACGTTGGCTTTGCATGGTTTTGGAAAGATTGGTTAAATTTGTCTCATAACTTGTTGTTTTAAGTTTCAAACACGACTCTAAAGTTTCCTTTGTTAGTTGGCTTCTTTTTTTATTTATTATTAGATAAAAATTGTTATAATATTGCTATGCGGCACAGCGAAAAACCACGCAGGTTTGTGTTGCGTGCCGTTCCGTCTACACTTACAAAAATGTGGATAACAACTAATATTTATTAAGGAAGTAACATTTTAATTTATACTTCTTTACTTTTTTCTTACTTTACTTTTAATTATATTCCTGCAAGAGAACGCTTGCTCGGATGAATATGTCGATCCGAAGATAGTCAGCACTCCAAATGCCAACTTCTTCACCTCAATATAGCAATCTGGAATACTATTCCATGCGTCGAATATAAGTGCCTCAATTCGCAGAATTTCTTTTAAAGCTGTTCATTTAGTTGCGTTACGTATATACATTTCTGGACCTCCAACTCGTTCAACTTGCTTTTCAACTCTGTAAATTTTCAACTCCACAAAGCTTTACTTTTTAAATCGATCAATTGCATTTCTAGAGATCCAGTATCAACTCCAAATGGCTCAGTGTGGAGCGATTTTTTTTTTATAAAATAAATAATATTTACGTATGAAACTAAAGAGCCGCAGCTTCACATCCAAAGAGGCGCATGAGGCTCGCGAACCGCAGGCTGCCGACCCCTGCCCTAAGTATTTAAAGCTAAACATTTTTTTTTGTTAATCGATTATTACTCCCTATAAAAGAAGCTAATTGTGGACAACAGGTGTTCTACTCTACGACACAGTAACCTACTCTACGACACAGGCGCGCGCGCACTTGCGGTGTTTCCTTAGAAGAACGTCCACACTCCACAGCCCACAGTCTCTAGCGACTTTTGAGAGATCGAAGGTGTTAAATTATACTTTAGGCCTTTTTGTAAAAGTGACAACATTTTTAACTCGGGGATAAAATTGATGATATTCAGTATGAATGTTGTTATTGCGCTTACGTGATGAAGAGGATACAATTAGTTGTAATTTACGGGACTGAATTTGATATTTCTCGTAAACAACTATTGAAGCTAAGTCTCTGGCTTTCCGGTCCAAAATATCAAATTCAATATTATGTAATTTATAAGAAAGTTCAGAATATAATACTTTAAGGTGGATTTTAAATTATCTCTATTGGAAAACCAATGACGACACTCCTCATTAAGCCAAATGTTTTGAGCTTTAGCAATAGCAACATTGGCCGCTCGACTATTTGTGTCAGAACGTATTTGGATGTAATTAGGAATAACATGAAGTTGTTTGCGCTGCTGATTGAACCAAACATTTTGGGCAGCAATACGATGGAATTTTGTTAATTTGACATAGAGTCTTGCCTGGTCGGCCGTGCTACCCTTTTTAAGATAATTGATAGAATCAGGCGTTACTTTGCGGAAATCTATTATAATGGGGTTGTTATAAACTAATTTGCCGTCCAGTTATATCATATATAGGAGCACCAGCTTATTTCCTTGCTGAAAAGTTAAACTTCCTTCTGCGGGAGAAATCTGGATACAAACCAACTTACAGCCTTAAAAATAGTTTAGATCTCATTTCCAAGATTAAAGATATCCGTATTCCACCTAAATCCATGTTGTTATCTTTAGACGTTGATAGTTTTTTCACAAATGTCCCCTCACCAGACTGTTTGCGTATACTCGCAGATCTCTTTAATAAACGTCGTCTACATCCCGGGGAAACAGATGATCTTCTAAACTTAACCTCTCTCTGTATGAAACAAAACTATTTCCGGTTTAATAACCTTCTATCTACAAAAAGAAGGGCTAGCCATGGGTTCCCCTCTAAGTCCTCTTATGGCGGACATTTTTATGGATAATTTTGAAAAACAACACATAGTTTTCAATCAAAATATCTTATACTGTTATCGATATGTAGACGACATAATTATTTGCTGGAATAGCACAAAGAGGCACCTGGATGTTTTCCTTAATAAAATTAATAAAATTCACGACAAAATTAAATTTAAGCTTGAATTGGAACAAGATTGTGTCCTTAATTTCCTCGATTTAACAATAACAAGGAAAGAGTCGTTACATGAATTTCAAATTTATCGAAAGCCAACTCATACTGACACGGTCATTCCTGCGTCATTGTCATCCGTGGCAACATAAATTAGCCGCTTTTCATTGTTATATTAATCGTTTGTTTACTGTGCCATTAAGTAAAGAAAATTATTTAAAAGAGCTTAATGTGATTTATCAAATTGCGGTCTCTAACGGTTATTCAAAGAATATCATTGACAATGTAATAAAAAAGAAACATAAACTTGTCATACGCAATTCTCTATACGCGGTTAAACCTCAAAGTGATCGTCGATATGTTGGCAGTTTGACCTACTTAGGTTCCATATCTGAAAAAATAGCTAATACTCTTCGACAGAGTGGCGTGTACGTGGCATTCAAAACAAACAATTCACTTAGGAATATCTGTAATTATAAAGATAAGTTAGATATTCATCTAAAGTCTGGTGTTTATAAGCTTGTTTGTGACGAATGCCAAGCCGTTTACGTGGGTCAGACTGGTCGCAACTTCGAAACACGTTATAAAGAGCATTTAGCCACGTACAGGAATTGTAACCCCGATAAATCACATTTTGCTAAACATCTCTCAGACACTGGACACAGCCTAGCCAATGACCACTCCTTCAAAGTATTACATACTTGTAATAAAGGGCTACGACTGTGTGTGCTGGAACAGTTAGAGATATTAACAAATAATAACAGTAATGTTGCACTGCTGAATGAACAAACAAATGTTTCCAACTCGCCTCTTTTAAACATGTTTAAGTCTACTCCTTGATGATAAATAGCCTCGCAACATGGTCGTTTGTCACCCTCACGGTGCTGTGGTCAGCGTTTGGTTGCGTGGTTGTCGGCTAGGCGGACGTTTCGCAGTAGTTTGTTGTTCATTTCACAGCAAATATCGGCGTACGTCAGGCGGTGATTGATCACATGACGTAATCGCTCGCTACATAATTGGAGCGCGCTTACGTCAGCAACTAGTATAAATAGCAGTAGTTTCGGCTCGCCGCTCACTTAGCGGCCAGCCTCCGCAGAGTCTACTTCACCTGAGGATGCCTCGTGTAGAGGCGAAACACGTGTCGTATTTTCGAGAGTGGTGTGTCGTGCCTAGTGTGGTGGTGCTGGAGGTGGTAGTGCTGAGATTAACGGCGACGGATATAGTGCGCGCGATTAAGGGAGGACGGGAGGTCCTTCCACCACCACCTTCAGTACTAGTCTTGACAACCTCCTAAGATTCACCAGCAAAAACCACGTACGTACGGGCGTACGACAGGATTTTAACATTTGGTGTGGTCATACTGCACAGGTCGTTGATAGAAATCAGAAATAAGGTTGGCCCCAGAATGCTACCCTGCGGCACGCCATATGATGAGACCCCCGCATCCCCACTAGCGAACCCAGGAAGCTTTACCTTTTGTTTTCTGTCCGACAGGTAGCTTGCGAGAAGAGCAAACGGAGTCCCTTTTATTCCGATTTTTTCAACCATTTGCACAAGGGTAGGGACAGAGAAGGTATCGAATGCTTTCTTCAGATCAAGGAAGACCGGCAAACATTTTTACTATGGTCCAGTTGTTCTGTTACAAAAGTGCTTAATTCAAGAATTGCATTTTCTGTCGATCTTTCTTGTCTGAAGCCAAACTGGATGGGTGCTAATATATCAAATTTATTTATGTAGTTGAGTAATCTTATATTAAGTAACTCTTCCAGAATTTTAGATATTGCTGGTAGAACGAAAATTGGTCTGTAATTACTAATGTCATCTCTGTCTCTGCCCTTGTACACAGGTGTAATAATATACTGCTGTAATGGTGCAGGGAATATCCCTGTATCGAAACATAGATTAGTTAAGTGGGAAATAATAGGAGCCAAGTCATGGATTGCCAATTTCATGAAGTCATTGGAGAGCACTGTTTGATTTTAAGCTTAAAATTATATATTAACTTCGTCTATGTCCTTATGTAGTAAAACAAAGGAGTGTAATGGCACCGGATTGTTATCCACAGGTCTACTAAGTGTCTCATTGACGTTCTGGATTTTACTGGCAAGTTGCATTTTTTATAGCTTAAGGGTGACAAACGAGCACACAGCCCACCTGATGGTATATGGTTGCTGCGGCCCATAGAAATTTACATCTATTCTCTATTACGAATCAAAATGCAGATGCGTTGTCACCCGTGAGGACTAAGATGTAATGCCTCGTTTCCAGTAAAAAAGGTCTCCGGTTCTCTACACTCACCATACGAAACATTTACGAAATAGCTATTTATGAAATTTACAAATTCGGTGGGCGATGATTTCAAACTGAGTAGTTCAGTATTAGTATTTCGTGATTTATTAGTTTAAAGTAATATTTTTTTATTTTCCATAATAATTTGTTACTTAAAGATTAAATAATATTTTCTCTATCATATTGTCTTTTCATTAATAAGAGGAAGAAGAAATAAGGACTGAAAAGTATACATTTTCTGAACTAGATGAATCAACCGAGGTATGCATTGGATCACCTAATGAAACAGAAATGGAATTTAATCAGATTTTAAAAAAATATGAATACGCTGATGTTTCCTATATTTTCGAAAATATACTTTTGCATATATTTTACTTTTGGTAACTAATGCATGAACTTTTTTTACCATTTTTTATGGTAATATATTTTATTTTGCGAATTTAAGGATTTTTATAGGATAAAAAAAAGATTCCGACGAATTGAGAATCCGTTTTTGAAGTCGGTTAAAAATAGTCCTCGGAAAGGGAAGAACAAAGTCTGCCTGACCAGCTAGTATAAAGTACATTTATATAAGTATACTACCTATATGTCATATGATCGAATTTTATAAATGACTCAAGTATATACCTTTAAGCTAGAGAAATACAGTAGTACAAATAAAGAATAATGTAATTAAATACTGGAATAATATAATAAATCACAAAACAGTGCAATATATTTGTGCCATTAGTTATCCTACAAGCAGAAGGTTATCAGTGAGGAACTTGTAAGGCGGCACGACCAGATTTGTGGGTGCAGGTCCTTTTCGAGCTCTTCCTACGTTGTCAAAATGACTTCCATGACAAGGACAATAAAATCCGCCAGGCCAATCACCTGAGTTTGCTATCGGTACACAGCCAAGATGGGTACATATACCTATTACTATTAACCATTCCGGTTTTATCGTTCGCTGTTCTGGTGTTTCGGGGTCTCTTAATGAAGACAGTGGAGTTTTAGCTTCTAATTCTATATCAGCAGGAGTTCTATGCTTGACGAAAAGTGGTTTTCCTCGCCACTTAATTGAAAGGCATTGTCCAGGTTCCACTTTTGATATGTCGAGTTCGATTGAAGCTAATGCAATGACATCAGCTGCGGCAGACATCGAGTAAATATAATGAAGCATGTGTCCTTTAACACCATAAGCTCCGCAGACAAGCCCGAAGAAGCCAACGACGTACGTAATTCCTACTTTTTTATCCCCTGATAGCCATTTTGTTTTTTCAACATCTTTAAACTGGTTTTTCCTTTCTGCATCAAAATTTGGAAATTCTACATCCCGATGGTAATGCGAAATTATTTTACAAAAACGCACTTGCGTCCAAAACACCGGTCCCGGAGTTGAAAGAGTGTTTCTTTCACAAAACTTAGAATTACTTTTGTACGACGTTTTCTTACAGTTTTTGTCGTCATTTACGGACATTTTTGACAAATCGGATGTCTTTAATATACTACGGCAACATGTAGTCCAAAAATTCAAATAACCATAACGTGCTAAACATTTGCCCGTCATAAAATTCATTTTATTTTTGCATGTAATCAGTATTTAAACATAGTTCTTCTCGTAAATTAACTGATATTATGACATTATTTCCTAATACCAATTTTAGAGCCGTGAATAACAATTAGTGCACGAAATAATAAGAAGCAATTAGTGACAAGTATTGACAATTATTTTAATTGGTTCAGTGACATAACTAAGCATAGTGATTAGATACTTTTTGGACATAGTCTTGGGATATAACAGTGCTAAAATTATATCAAAACCTATTTTAAAATCTATTGCAATAATTTCGGAAAGTAGGCTAAAAATAAAATATAGATTATTTTAATGACGTGTATTATTTATCTTTTAAGGTATACGAGAATGCGTTCAAACATCTCAAAATACAAGCATATCACAGTGGTAAAGGAACTATTGCTTGGCGGCAGAAGTGAATAAGAGGGTGGTACTTACTTAGATGGACGCCCAAGCAGAAAAGGAGTCATACCAAGTGGTAACACTGACGACGGTTAGCGGAAAATCCAACAAAGCTGTATTTCGTTAGACTTGTAATTAGGTACTAGAAGCATTATCAGTGCTGGGGTATCGGCCATGTGATCGCTAGGTATGGTTTAGGATTCCAAGTTTTGCACGATTCAAGGGTTTGTGACAAACTTACAGCACAAAGCCGCACCTACTGCCATTTCAGCTTACTAATCCTTTGGGCGTTACTCTGTTTCTACAGCGGATATCCTAATTACGAAGTCTATCACGCATAGAAACTCTTAGCCCAAGGTCGCTATCCTCTCCACAGCTCGCTATGCACTACCTTGAGCTTCCTCACACGGCAGGCAGCGAAAGACCGTCTCATGCCGGGTTTCCACGCTTGCCAAGTCTCGGCTAGCATCCACAAGCACAAGTGTGTAAAGAGGGCGTTTGGGTTGGCTTGCGTGAGCTTGTGGACGCTTGTCCCCGATCCGGGATAGTGTCGGTTTTTGGACACAGATCAAAGGGCGCTTGCGGCAAGCGCTTGCAACGCATTCACACGTTGGTGCGCGTTTAGTAACCATTGTGATTTCGCAACGAGCGCATGTTTAGTTCTTTGTTCTAGAAAGTTGCAAATGCTTGGAGTCGTCTTGCCGAGTTAACGGGAAAGGAGTTAACGGGAAAGCCAGAGAATTAAAAGCCAAAAAATTCCTTGTTTTTGTATTTCAAATAAAAGTATGTTAAACCAAACGCAATAGCCGACACAAGTTCGGTGTCCGCCATGCTTGGATATACGTAGCACACTGACGCATTCACAAACATGTAAACAAGTTCCAAACGCCAAACGAGATTTGTGGACGCTTGGGGCTTGAAGACGTTTGCCGAGGCTTGGCAAGCGTGGAAACGCACCATCAGATCCGTATCTCACATGTCATCGCTGGAAACACGCACTGGTTGTACATCCTTGTTTTCGAATTTGAGGTATACCTTATACTTAATCTTCCGAACGCCACCCAGCCGAGTTGAATCCATCGGTTGATCTCTCGGTCGAAGTTGGATTTATTCATTCGGGCAATTACTACTACTAGTACTAAGTAAACATAATTATGATATATATATATATATATATATATATATATATATATATATATATATATATATATATATATTATCGTGCATTTCCGATCACAGGATATCAAGTTTTTTTTTATTTGTGTTACGTTAGTAATCAGTCAATAGCTATACTTCAGAATATTTATCATAACTTTTGATGGAATGAACTGATTTTAATGAAATAAAGACTAAATGTAACCCGAAGATACTTTATAATTTCCTTAACGATTCTCATGATATAAATTAGTACTTTATATGTAATACGTTAACAAACAAACAGACAGACAGACAGACAGACAGACAGACAATTCTAAAAACGGTAGAAATATATTTAATTACCTATTTTTAGTATCTCTCAATCACTTTTATTACAAAAATATAAAATGTACAGACGTCTGCTATTTACATTTTTATTATATGTATAAATGAAGCGAAGACAGTGATAGTGATCTCTGTGATCGACGACTACTTTTATGATATGAATTCAAAATTTGTGTCTATTCTATCTCATCCGTCGTATTCTCCGGACATAGCACCTCTTGAAAACAAAAAAAAACGGCTCCTTATAATTTCGATATTTCTGAGGTGTCTAGAGAACAGTTTAAATTCCATACACATAACCTCGATGGTTGGCAAATGCCGTGCGTTTTACAAAGGTTTTTTTCTGCCACGCACGACCACAAGATCTAATTTACTGTCTCTGCTTTACAAGGACTAATAGGATAATTGATAATCATATTTTAAATTAACTCCAAATGTAACACTTAATTTACAATAAATATTTTGAATTTGAAAAAATTGATAAAACACGAAAATAGGCGTCACACACCGCTGGCGTGAATCTTACTATAAGCTATAGCCACGGTCAGTAATTGTTTGCCTTAACTTTTAATACATTTTTGCCATTTTATGGGCAGTTTATTGAGGCCTGTAGAAATCTAATGCACGGGAACGAATAAACTCTTTAATGGCGTTCTTTACTGCTTCTTCGGAATTGAAATGTTTGCCTGTAAAAAGTTATCTAAACTTCGATAAAATTGGAAGTCTATTGGGGCAAGGTCAAGGAGAATATGATTGACAAGGAAGACTAGCTTTGGCTCTGCTAATTTTGTCAACGTCACTGTCATCAACTGTGTGTAAGGTACCCATTTGTGAAGCTACTTTATTTTACCAATTTACCCGGAATGATCTTTTGCCACTTACATCAACACAAACAAAACGACGCCTGATTCTATTGATTATGATAAAATAAATGTTGTTTGATTATCAAAAATCTAAATAACGACACACGCGGGTTGATAGGTAACGTTCGATAGGTAACGTAAGAAACAAATAATTTCCACATAATACCTTATGAAGTCGGGGTTCTAATTCTTCGATGCACCGGCTTCAGAAGCTACTATGTGGAAATGGTTTTAATAATTTTTTAAATCGGTTTGAACGTTTTATTTAGTTTAATTTTACTTTAAAGGTTTTAAAATCCATCTTAGCCTGAAATAAATCTGGCAGCGGTAGTTGGCGCTAAGATACAGCGTTTACACATTTTTCTTTTGACTACAGATTCTGTAATTTGAAACTTGTTCATAGTTTAAAGTGCGCGCCCATGTACTTACGTGAACTGTTGTGGATAAAAATAAAAAAAGTTGAATAAGTTTAATATTGGCGACGTTTAACGGTTTATACATTAGATTATTGGTAGGTCTTCATGCGCTGAGACCTGTCTGACCTGTCCGACCGCGCAGAGACCTATCAATAATTATACGTTACTTTAAGAAGTTTTACTTTTTAGAATTAGTTCATTAAATAGAATCCTTTTGTTTCTTTACAATATGTGTAAGGCTCAATAAAGAATAAATAAATAAATAATACTGTTAAAATTTTACGGTTAGCTAACCGGTAATAATCCGGTAACATAGAGGTATTTAAATTCTGATAATTTTAATAGTTCGATGGCTTGGTAGTGCAGTAGCTAAAGCGTTTGGTTGCAGCGCTGTGGGGCCTCGGGTTCAAATGCTGCACGGAATAAGTGTTTGTATTGTATTACCTACAAATAATTGTATCGGGACTGGATGTTTGCCCATGTGCAATTGTGCAATTTATAATATGTAAAACGCCTTTACGTTACGGGAGACAATCCTGCTAAACGGTAACGTTTTTGAATAAATAAAAAGAAAAGTTGTTATTTAAAGACACTGGCTAGTGTTTCAACAGGATTTCTGAGAAAACATAAAGCAGCTGCATTAGCTATGTTTTATATTTGTAAAACCGTCCAGTTTCTCAGGATCATCAAAAGTAGTTTCATGCACTCTGATGTAATCACATTCATCATTACAGCCCTTCACAAGTCCACTGCTGAACATAAGCCTCCCCCAAGGAATGCCACAAAGCACGGTCCTAAGCCACCTGCATCCATCGACTTCCTGCATATCTTACCAGGTCGTCACTCCATCTAGTTGGGGGATGCCCTACACTTCGTCCGCCGGTAAGAGGCCGCCACTCGAGAACCTTTTTTCCCCAACGGTTGTCGGTTCTTCGAGCTATATGGCCGGCCCATTGCCACTTCAACTTACTAATCCGTTGGGCTATGTCAGTCACTCTGGTTCTACTGCAGATATCCTCAAAGTTTATCACGCAGATAAACTCCGAGCATAGCCCTTTCCATAGCTCGCTGAGCAACCTTGAGCTTCTTCATCCGGCCAGCAGTGAAGGACCACATTCATGTAATCACATTAGTTGAATACATATTTTATGTTTAAGAAAATTCGAAATTGCAAATGCGCTGTTTCATAAGTTGCAGTACAGGGGAAAACTAAGAAATTGACATTGTATATTTTGCATCCGAACTAATGTTTTGTTTTCAATGAGACTACGCAACATGACCGAATAGGGCACATCCACAGCACATTCGTAACAGCCAAGGCTGTGTGACGTAAGTTGTGAAAGTTGCAATGAAACGACATGGCCAACGGTTAGACGACGCACGGTTAGTCGACGGACAGACAGACAAGTGAGTTTATTACTTAATCACTGCACGTGCGAATTGTTTTGCATTGACCGAAGGTATTTTGACAATTAATAAGTGAGTTTTATTTTTCTTTATTTTATGTTGATTTTTATCGGAATCCGTTCAAAATGAAATTGTTTAGGTTAATATTTTTATTTACTTACGTGTTAAAGTGAAATAAAATTAAAAGCGAACATTAAATTTGAATGCTACAAATTGTAATTAAAGTTTAAAAAAGTGAAAACCGATTTCAAAAACGAAAAAAATAGTTTCCACGTATAGCTTCTGAATTCGGGGCTTTAGTTCTTAGATAAAAACTAAGAATTAGCACTTTATTTATTTATTTAGGACCAGCCCTGAGTTATAAGCAATTTAATAAAAGAAAAATCATTAAAATCGGTTCCGCCATTTCCGAGTAATTGGTGAACATGCATAA